GGATGTTCCAAATTTTGCTAGGGGAAAATTCTCCATTTTTATGATTTTTCTGTTTACATAAATGCATATTCGTAACATGTATATGTCACGAGTGTTGACCACATAGTTGGCATCTACTGTGTGGATGCGGTTGGGCAGCATTAATAGTACTATCAACAAATTTTTGTGTAGTGGATTACTGGATGTTGACTTTTAAGCCTGGTATTGTGGCTGTTATATGGATTTTATGGTTAGCATACAGCTTTTGCAGAGATAGACCTGGGCTCTTCCATGAATTGTTGCAGCAGTGTTGTAAGGCTGTTGTAGGGACTATATGGAAACCAGCCTTTTGTTAGATGTCTGATTCTACTCAAAATTGATTTATCATGAATTTTTAAAGTTCATGTACATGTACTATTGTAGTGTTTGCTAGCTCACTGAGCATGCTTTTAGCTCACTTTGTGGAAAAAAACCCTGTGTGATGTTTACTCCCTTCACTGTGTTATCAGCTGCTAACACGCAGTATTGGCACAACAGTTGACAGTATTATAATTATACTAAAAGTTAAAAAGAAGGAAGAAGAGAGGGAGAATGTACAGGACAATCAATACATGAGGGAGAGAGCACTATAGAAAACTGACCAATAGAATAGATAACAAAAGACAAAGAACTCTCTGGCATTCTAAATATAGTAACAGAACATATGTTCACCACTCATATTCATAACTAATATAATCACTAATAACCAATAATAACAATAGTAATAATAGTAATAATATCTCTCAATTCTTAGTATTAACAACAATAATAACAATAATAATAATAATAATAATAATAATAATAATAATAATAATAATAAGAATAAGAATAATAATAACAACAATAATAACACTAACAATAATAATTACAACAATAACAATAATAATTCATGTATGTAAATACAGTCACTACACCCTGTTCATGATGTGCTATTCAGATAGCATTAGGAAAGAGCTAGTCTTCACTGCACTAGAATTAATTATTTGCAAGTGAAGGTAGACCTTAATATTACTGTTAAGAAATAAAATTAATAATTACCCATTAAAAATTAGATGTATCTCCACTTCAGTGCAAACTAGAGCAGTAAAGACTTGCTTTTTTCTTATCTTAAGGGTGAAGGACAGAGCTCCTGATGGATATCTGCAAGTTACATGTACTTCATTCCCACAGAAAATAGAAAATGATGAAATATAGCCTCTATACTGACATACATGTGTTCGAAATGTATACTAAAAGTTTATTACAAAATCACAGGAAACTAACAAATAAAAAAGTTACATCTACAAGATAATCATAATCACTATTGCTGACTCAAGTAAATAATTGGGCAAAATGAAGTGAGATTGTCTGTACAGGTAATTCTTCCATTGACGTCTAACTATTTTTAAGTTAAATAACCTAATCTTCATGAGCATGGCTAGGGGCAGAGATCCTTAATGTTTTACATTCCTTTACTTCATTTTTCAATTTTTACTGATGATTTCAAAACTAAAGCACATCAATGAGAAGCATCTGCAGCATCATATAAGCACTATTAAAAAAGTACATGGTCTATAAATAGCACTCAGGTGCAGGCCCTGTCCTCACATCATAGGTGCTCTCATTTTTTTATTCCTAAAGCTATTCAGTTCATCAATAACACAAGCTGCTTCAATCTTGCAAAGCAAATTGTACCACACACAAGTAAAAATTTACTGATTCTCTACTAGTCATCTCAAACTAGACTGCATAAATGTGTTCATCAAGAATTGATTGCTTATGACAGACTAATTATAAAAAAATCAAGTCAGTTTTTTAGGATCCTACCATTTTCGTGCTAAGTATATTCATAAAATTTTAAGTATGTCCATTGTAATACCATAATTGCTGTATTTATTTGTGACAGCAATCTACTGCTTACTGACCATCATTCAGCATGCATCTGTATTGTATAGCTCCAAATTTTTGTCAGTCAAAAATATTTGCTTAGCAAAATTTTTGATCAACAGTTTTGCTCTACATGGTTAATATGCAGATTTGTATTAATTATGACTAAAATTTTATCAACAAAATATTAATTTTAATGAGAAATTAAGATTTTGATGAAATTTTTGACTGATAAAAAATTGGAGCTAGATCTAGATCTATATAGCAAGGCCGCAAAAGTTGTGGCAGCCATTTTGAAGTGGGGTGAATCCTACTTAGTAACGCTACCGCGTTACTAATACTGTAGTTGGCTCATGGGCTTTAATAAGTGCCATTAGGACAAATAGACGCAAAAATATTGCTTTTTCCCATTCTACTCTTAGTAAACTATGACTTAAAAATGGCAGTAGGAAAATTATACAAAATTCTATGAGTATGTTTTTGGATCCCTTTAAAACACTGCCACTATAATGACACATTTTACTGAATCACTCAGATATAATTAGTCTAGATCTTATTATAGTATTATTTCAGTACAATCCTATATATTTATAGGCATTAAAGAGTTTCTAAAAAAGAAACACAAAATTAGAAAGCAACAGATTGAAATCAAGCTTACAGATCCACCTGATCCAGTCAGTGTTTCTACCAGCACTGCAACTCCTGATGCTTTGGAATTAAAATATTATCCTGATTTGATTGAAGTCACTTTTGATGATGATATTGATACTGATAGACTTGAGCTTTACTTTGAAAGCAAACAGTCTGGAGGGAAGAAAGAAAAAAATGTTGAATCTATCAAAATTATTGAAGAGGGTGTCATTCATGTCAAGTTTAAATCATCAGAAGGTAAAAAATCCAACTAGCTATAATTATTTATATTTATTATTTTTAGATGCAGCAGCTGTTATTGCACAAGGAGAGCATTCAATCAAAATAAAAAAGATTCCTCGTAAACTTGAGGTTCACTATGTCCCTCTTCCACCAGTGAAGGAATATGATAAGAACAAGTTAATAATCAAAGACATACCAGAAGGAGTAGATGAGGAATTTTTATCTTGTTTTATTGAGAATTGTCTTGAATTAGATGAAGATGATTTCGCAGTTGATTCTAGAACAAGTTTTGCTGTTTTAATTTTTGAATCATCTTACACTGATAAAGGTATTGTGTATATTCCTTTTCACCGTTTTATTTTTACATAATAGAGTTAAATGAAATGATGGAGAAATTACAAGCAAAAAAGCTAAAAAAGGAGCACTTGACTGTTGAAAGATGTGAAGTTACTTACAGTATTTATATTACTGGCATCAACAAAAGCTTTGCTTCAGAGGATGGTTTAGAATGCTATTTTGAAACCCCAAAAAGTGGAGGAGGAGAAGGTGTAGTTGAGAAAATTGAGATGCTAGGAAAAGACAAGGCAACAGTGACTTTTAATGATCATTCAGGTATTTAATATATTATGTTTAGATATAACTCATGCTCATATATAGTTATTCAGAGAGTTATAAAAAAGAAACACCCTAAACTGGGTCCTAGTGTCAGTATTACTGAATGTTCAGTGTTAGACTCTGTAGACGAAAGTACAATTGAAGATGAAGAGGAGGAAGAGAGGGAAGAGACTCCTAAAAAGAAGTTAAGTAACAAAAGGGACAGGAAAACAGGAGAAAAACCAATAAGTAGCAAAAAGAGCACAACTAAGAAGATTAAACAAGAAAAGTACACAAAGAAAAATAACAAAGCGTGTAGCTCTAGCGATAGTAGCGATGATGATGATGATAAAACCATAAATGAAACAGATGCTTCTTCACCTCCTCCTCTTGTTGAGGTTGTTACTTCTCCTCAAGTTCCACTCAATCCCATAAATCATCCATTGGATCCTCTTCTTGCTAAGTATGTTCGTTTAAAGCCTGACATTACCAAGGGCATTGAAATGGAGTTTCAAGTTAAGATTACTGCAGCTGATGCTGGTATTATTACAATATCACCTTCACCTTCCTCTCCTCCTGACTGGCCTGAAAAAGCTGTAGATATGATGCAAGAGTTTATCTCTAGCTCTCTTACCAAAGTTGATTTACCAGTTCCTCAAGAAGTTAGTAATTTAGTTTATCAAATGATCATGAAAGAATGCAGTGATGAAGGGTTGCAATATGCTTTTGGCCAAGGTAACAATAAAGTTGCAATAGCTGGTCATATTGATGCTGTAACAAAGCTAGAGTGCAATGTTACTGAACTATGTGGTAGAATGATACAAAGTGTAGATGAGGTTGAGCTTTCACAGGAAGACTTTGCTTACTTAAAGGGTTGGGCGCTATCTCAAATTCAGCAGCAACACAAAGGAGTAAAGCTGCAATGTCATGATGATCGTTTGTCATTATCTATTGATGGTTCTATGAATAATGTTAATGAGGTTAAGTCTAAGTTATCACAGCATTTGGTTCATAGTAAAGTTTCTGTTAACCTCCAACCAGAAGCATTGAAATTTTTACATGATGACCAACTAGGAAGACAAAAGCTTAATACCATGCTCAAAGGTCATCCTGAGGTCATTCCTTATTTTTCTCATAGTGCAAATAATCAGCTCTTCTTCCTTTTACTATGCTCAAATAGGCATATTGATAGAGCTGAGCATGTAGCAACAACCATTCAGCAAGAAATAGTAGTCCAGTCTATTGATTTGCCACAGTCATTTTTAAAACAAATATCAGATTCAAAGTTTGTGTCATTTCAAACTAACCTCGCCAAAAAATATTCCTTTTCTTCCACTGTTCATCAGAACAAGCTTACATTAGTCAGTACTCGTAGCAGTATAGCAGACGTTAGTAGAGAATTTCATACTTTTGTTACTGAAGCTTGCTCTGTCACTGATGTAATTCATTTTAAAAGAGGAGTTTGGCGTTTGCTGCATTCAACTTCAATGGAGAAGAAGTGGACTGATCTTGTTGAAGATTTGAAAAAGAAAGGCATTATTATTGTCTCCTCTTCAAAGCCAACAGCCCAGGAACCATGCATTAAGATTAAAGGAGAAGTATATATTTTGGAGATTGCAAAACAAAAAGTTATAGAGTTTCAAGCAGCAGTGAAAGAGAGACAGGTAACAATCTCTCGTCCAGGAATGGGTAAATATTTCTTGAGTAATCCTCAAGGTCAGACCATGCTGAAAGGTATAGAGTATGAAGCTAACGTTTGTATAGAAGTTGAAATTAATAATAAAAATTCTGGAGATGATGAACCTTTTATGACAGCTAGTCAAAGTTTCAAAAATATTGGTTTTGGAACTACTCCTGAGATGAAGAGAGTGAATGTGATAGTTGGTGATATCACAGAGTTTGATAGAGCTGATGTTATCGTTAATGCTGCTAATGGCCAACTAGCTCATGGTACTGGCATAGCTGCTGATATTGTAAAGCAAGGTGGTCCAGCAATCCAAGAAGATTCAAGAAGGTATATTGATAAAAATGGATTGCTTTCTGATGGAAAAGCCATTCTCTTTACAAGAGCTGGTAACCTACCTTATAAGGCAATAGTTCATGCAGTGGGTCCAAGATGGAATAGATTTGGAGATAACTCAAGAGAAAAAGCATTATTAAAGAAGGCCGTTTGTCAAAGTCTTGAGAAATCCAAGGGATATACCTCGATAGCTATTCCAGCAATAAGCAGTGGTGTATTTGGTTTCCCAGTTGATGTGTGTGCTAATACTATTTTAAAAGCTATTGTTGAGTTTAGTGGTGCTGACCATGGCTCACAGCTTAATGATATCAATATAGTTATTTTTGAAGATAACATCAACGAGTTTTTAAAAGCAGCAGAGAGAGAATTAAGAGGTTTCCAGTCTTATAGTTCCACTCAAAACTCAATGTCTTCCTCATCAGCAGCAGCTCCTTCAATTCAGACTACATCAAATCCTCTAGGGAACAGCAGTGCATCCAGTACTGAAAAACGTCGCAAAATTAGAGGATCATCCACACCAACCACATTGACTGCTTCAACTGCAACACCAAGCAAAGTATCTCAGACTACTCCAGCAGTATTTGTACCTCCAGTTAAAATTACAAAAGGAGATATTATACAATATCAAGTATAGACTAATTTAATTATTAGTATCAGTTATGGCAATTTACATGTATGTAATCCTTTAGGAAGAAGCAATTGTCAACACTACTGACACTGATCTTGGATTTGGAGGATATGTGGCTAAAGAAATATTAAAAGAAGCTGGTTCTGGTCTGCAGCAAGAATGTTCTGAGTTTAAGCGAGTTGCTGTTGGTAGTGTAACTGTTACTGGTGGACATAATCTGAAATCAAAACATGTTCTTCATGTTGTATTGCCTGGATATGATGGACCTAGTGGAAATGCTAAAACAGTAAATACACTGATACATTATCATGCACATAATGTTTATAATATATAGGTATTAAAACAAGTTGTATACAAATGTCTAGAAGAATGTACTCGTCTTAAACTCAAGAGTTTGTCAATGCCTTCTATTGGGGCTGGTAATCTGAAGTATCCAAATGATGTTGTGGCTAGAGTATTAATGGAAGAAACAGCATCATTCTTTCAAAAGAATCAAGGAAAGACTTCACTTCAGTTGGTTCACTTCGTCATATTTGATCAGAAGATTTATGATGAATTTCAATCCATCTATAAAAATATGAGCTCTCCTACCAGTACAAATATTGCTAATCCTGTCATGTTCCCTTCAAGAAAAGTTCAAGCTTCAAGTCAATCAACATGCTCTTTTCCTCTTCCCCATGGTCTTAGTTTAGAGTTGCTACAAGGTGACATATCAGATGATGATTCTGATGCTATTGTTAACACAACTCAAGAAAATTTAAAACTAGTTGGTGGTGGTGTGTCAGGTGCGTTGCTAAAGAAAGGCGGGCAAGCATTACAAATTGCCTGTGACAGTGCTGTTGCTCAAGGTAAAACAGCAAAAGAGGGTAAGGTTGTTTTTACAAAAGCTACTGGTAGTCTAAAGTGTAAAGAAGTATTTCACATTGCTTTTCATGGTGGGAGGAATTTAAGCAAAACTGTCCTTTCATGTTTAGAGCTAGCAGAAAAGAAAAGGTTTTCTTCAATATCCTTTCCAGCAATTGGTACAGGAACTTTCAATTGTTCAGCTACTCCTGTTTCGAAAATAATAGTTGAGGCACTACAAAAGTTTATTTCTTCAAAACCAAAACATGTCAGAGTTATATGAATGATTGTATTTCAAGCTCATGTTTATAAAGATTTTGTTGGTGCTTTCAATACAATTGGAGATTCCAGTGGTGGTTTAATGAGTTACATATACAATGGTATGAAAGTAGTGAAATCTTTTTTTGCCACTAATTATAGCAGTGATGATGAAGATCCTGATAAGATCGAAGCAGAACCTATTAAAACTCCTCATATTGAAGATGGAGAATTTGAAGATCATGGAGAAGATGAAGTTGTTGCAGCAATGCTTGCAAATCTTTCTTTGGATTCAGAAGTGACACTTCACATTTACGGTGAGACAGAGTCAATGGTTGGAAGAGCAGAGAAGAAATTACAGTCTACAATCGCTACAACATTTCAAACTGAGGAAATTGCTGATCCTAGTATTGCTGCTTTTTCTGATGAAACTGTACATGAGCTTGAATCATTTGCAAGTGATCACAATGTTGATATTGAAATTGAACGTGATCCTGTACTTCATTCAGTTAACCTTCGTGGATTTATTCAAGATGTTATTCTTATTAAAGATAAAGTTCGTGATGCAATGTCTTCTATAACTCAGGAGCAATCAAAGAAAGCTGCTGCTGCCTCAGTTTCTAAAATTGTCTGTTGGATAAGGATTAATTCAGATGAAGAAGAAGAAGAGTATGATGAAATGCAAAATTATGAAATTGAGCAAGCCTTTCGAAATAATGAAACAATTTTTGAAGCTACAGATGATGATTTTTTAATAAATTTTGGCAGAATGGAGGAAAGGGATAAAATAACTGATAAAACTGCTATTGTTAGACGTCTAGATCTCACAAAAGCCAAAGGTACTTTATATGATATTCTAGTTACATACTTATTATTTAGCTGATAATTACAGAACAACCTGATGACTGGGATCCAATGCCTCAGGACTCTCAAGGAAAAGAAAAGCGATTTCATTTTGTTACACTCCCAGCTACTGGTCCTGAATACAAAACTGCTGAGACAGCTTTTAATAAGACGATGACTGGAAGCTATACTCAGATTCTTAGCATTCAAAGGCTACAGAACCCGACCTTGTACAAGCAATATGCAGTGAGGAAGAAAGAAATGGAAAAACACAATCCTAAGGGTCATCAAAATGAACGACTGCTCTGGCATGGTACCAGTCCTGATACACTGGATAAGATTAACACACGTGGTTTTGATCGTAACTTTGCAGGGAAAAATGGTAAAGTAAATGACATACTTTTATATTATATATTATATTATTATATCATTATAGCTACATATTATGGAAAAGGAGTGTATTTTGCTCGTGATGCATCATACTCTCATGGTTACACATCACCTGATGCTAATGGTGTTCGTCACATGTACTATACTCTTGTTCTTACTGGTGAATTTACTCGTGGTGATACTTCAATGTTAGCTCCTCCTCCAAAGAATCCTCAAGTTGATCCTAATGTTACTTTTGATGCTACTGTTAATAATGTTGCTGATCCATCAATTTTTGTAGTTTACCAAGATGCTCAAAACTATCCAGCATATATGGTTAACTATAAATGAATTTATGAACTTAGACTGTGTGTTAGTTTAGGCCTGTAGCTTTATTTTCTATAAGTATAAATATTATTATTTTGCTGCTTTAGTATTGATTATTAGATCTATATCTATATGACTAGCTTTCTTTGAATTATGCTTTTAAAAAGAATAATTTAAGTTTTTCTCTATTCTCTTAGCCATTAGCTGATACTAGAAGTCCTAATCTAATTTATTTCCTAAGAGCAGTCCCATTTGATATCTAGTTGTAAGAGAGAAAGGAGGTAAAAAGAAAAAGTGAAGGAAAAAAGGAAAGTAACAATGAGCAATTATTTATAGTGAAGTGGTGCATAATTTTTTCTACAAAATGGTGCAGCAAACTGTTGTAGATATTGATGCCACCTTTGGACAAATTTTGAGTTATGAGCATTCAACAATTTCAATTTTATTGAAGACAAATGGTGACGAACTAAGGCTTCCCACAAACCATAGTGCTCATGAATGGCTCTTGTCAGTAAATTTTCAAGTTAATCAAAAATTTAACAAAGTACCATAATACTACACAGAATATTTTTCAAAAAATGCTAAAAGAGTATTTTTCATTTTAATAATTTTCTCATTGTATATACATGTTCTTGAAGTTACTCAAAAATCAGGCCCAATTGCCATACAGTGTCATACCATTAGTACAATTGTACATTACAGGACATCTACAATACTGTAAAATTAGTACTGTATTAATTGTACAGTTTTCTGATACCTATATATGTTCTTATAGTAAGTTTGAGCTGATTCCAAACCAAAACTGAATTTTTTACAAACATAATTCAAGAATAAGGCCAAAGTTCCTGTACTAGATCTATATGTCTTTGGCTAAAAATGACTAGAAGAGAATTTTCTATTTTATCTCCTTTTTTCTGATACATAGATATACATGTTCTTATGCTGCGTAGCAAGTTTGAGTGCAGTGTATTTTGACCAAAATTGGATTTTTTATGATTTTAAACTTTACCAAAAAATCAGGCCACAGTTGAAAGTCCCTGTACTATAGTACAGTGATTTTGGCCAAACTTAAGCCAAAAATTATTTTTAAAATTTCCATTTTTATAATTTTTCTGATGCAGATACAAGTTTTTATTTTGTGCATTAAGTTTGAGCTGATTTTTACCAAAATTAGATTTTTATCAATTTTTAACATTATTTAAAAATCAGGCCTGACCAAAATTGAATTTTTTACAATTTTTTTTAAACCCAGGAAAAATTTTGCTGCCAATTTTATTAACCTAGGTAGGTAGGACAAAAAATGTTGAGTAGGACAAAAGTAGAAGCACAATTTTGTCCTAGACAAAAAATATCAGCACAATTTTGACCGGTAGGACAAAATTTTGTTAAGACAAAGCATAGACTAGATGATGCAAAAGGTGTCATGACTCATG